CCCAATCTCCTTTCTCATTAAGACATGATTCACAGTGCTCATAACCAAGTTCATTCGCAAATTCTAAACATAATTTCCAAGTATCACCAAATTCCAATTAAATTTGCATATACATGATTCAATACCTCAATTTCATTATTCTACTTTCAATTTGGGTTAAATCTTTGGTTATCATCTTTAATCAACCTAGGGTTTCAAGAAAATATGGAGATTTCAAGAAATAATCAAACTTATTAACCCAACACTTTAATTCCAACTTTTCCATTGATTATACACCTAGGACTCATAATTCACCATTTTAACCTATTAATTAACTCCCAACATCTTCAAACCATAAAACCCCAAATCTCATACTATACACTACATGCTCTAAATATGGAAATTTTGTATTTAGATAATAAAATGTCACAAATCTATCTATGGATATAAGTATTGAAGAGTATTCAAACCCTTACCTCAATAATCAAGCAAAGAAGTGAGCTTGAGAAGAAGCCTTCACAAATCCAAGTTCTAATCGGGTAAAAACATTGATCCTCGCTTGTTCTCCATCCTTGATGCCAAAAACCATGGTGGATCGTGAGCAAAGTAAAGGAATTCAAGGATTTGGGGCTAGGGTTTCGGACTTAGGCAAAGAGGAAGGAAGAGGGAAGAAGAAAAATATGAGAAATGATCCAAAATCCCGTTTTTAAAGCTGCTGTCCCGAAAAACCCGCTATTCCCGCTCGAGCGTCCCAATTCCCACTCGAGCGGACCTGCTCCCAGCACAGATTTCAAAACTTCAAACAGGTATAACTCCCCTATCCGGACTCCGTTTTAGGTCGTTCTTATGCCCAAATTGAAGCCCCGAAAATAAGCTTTCCAATGGTTCTAACCTCACATCCAAATTCCAAGTGTGGAACAAGAAAAGGGCAAAAGAGTGACAGTTGGTCGTAAACGAATTATTCAAATTAAAGTTTTTGATCCAATCTTACTTTACCATCATATTATCATCTCAATCAATACCCCAAAATAAGGTAAGAACATTCCAAACACACTAAGAAGAACATCAAAAATGAGTCCACGTGTCTCAGAATCAAACTTAACCAGGCGACCCGCTCGAGCGCCCACTTATACGCTCGAGCGGAAAATCACCTCTCCCAGAATTTCAGTCCGCCTGCAAAATTACTAGAAACCGCAAAAGGACGCTCGAGCGCCAACTACTCCGCTCGAGCGGAGGGAAAAATTTCAGATTGTTTGGTAAGGTCACCAATTCCAGTTTCAAAGACATAACCCAACGGATAGTTCTTCAATTCCAATAGCAAGCACATTAACCCCTAATTAAATAAGGATAACTTTCTATACGCACTTTGGGGTCATTACACAACCAGTCAGGTGTTTATAGCTTTTTATTTTGAAAATCTATGCCAGAGTGTTTGATGTAGCTTTTTTTTACAGTTTATGAAGCAAAAATAACTTAAATAAGCTGAAAAAAGCTGATTATTGGAAAGTAGTGGAGAAGTGCTTTAACTTCTGCTTTCTGATTATTAGCTTGTAGCTTACTAGAAGATGCACCAAACAGGCCTATTGTCTGCATTTACGCACCTTACTGCTTATATTTTCCTTCTGCTTGATCAATCACAAAAGGTATATATAGGCATCACTTTCCAGCAACCTTTGGCCCTGCACCTAGAAGTGTAGTGCAGAAAAAGCTGTAGCGTGTATCACATAAATAAATAATCTCATTTTGCATTCTTATGTTTCTGCAGATATATGTGCATAGCAAAATCATGATAATTGATGATTGTATATCCTTGATAGGATCAGCTAATATAAATGACAGGAGTTTACTTGGATCAAGAGATTCTGAGGTATAAACTTAAACTTTTGGATCCTTTTGCATTAATGTTTTCTATTCTTTGGCCGGCTATTTTAAATTGCAGAACCGGATTATATCATAGTTGATTTCATAATGGAGCTCGTTTATTTTTCATTACCCTTTCTTTCAGAAACTATATACATGAGCTCAGAATTTGAAGGTGATGCAAAGAATTTCTGTTTGGGAATTTGTAGTTTTTTTGGGGAAAAAAATAATGCTCGGTTCTTAATATAAGCATGCAAGTTTGAAAGTTTTGCATCCACGGATTCTCTTTGTTCCTCTTTTTTTTCTTTTTTTTTTCTTTTGAAATATTTGTGAAGTGAGCCATTGATGCAAGCTGCTGAACAGTTTACGCTTTAAAATTTACAAATTAATACCTAAAGTAGTAGATACAATTATTTACTTTCAGATTGCTATTCTTAACACACAGAATTTTGTTGTTATTTTTCCTCCATTTGGTCACAACCAATCACATTACCAGCAACTCTAAACTTCTTGACAAACTACAAATCTATCATGATATGCTCCTCATTTTAATCTACAAATCTCCATCACTTTTTTGTAGTAGTTTTCCTAGTTGTTAACAAAAATGTTGTCGATTTAGATTGGTGTACTTATTGAAGACAAAGAATTTGTTGATTCATGTATGGGAGGAAAACCTTGGAAGGCAGGAAAATTTTCTTCAAGTCTTCGCCTTACTCTATGGTCTGAACACCTTGGTCTTCCAGCTGGGGAGGTTTGTACATCTAACAAAACAAGGTAATTTTTTTTCATAATGACTACGGCCAAGACAGGTTAGTGAACGAGAGACTAATGAATGCTTGTGTTAATCTTATACCTTGCTGACTGTGTATTATTCTTTTTTATTCAAATTAGTCAAATAAATGACCCGGTGGTTGATTCAACTTACAAAGACATATGGATGGCAAGGGCAAAGGTGAGGATGATAAAATGTTTTAAAACTATTTTTTCTTCAGGCTTGAGACTTGGATGAAGAAGAAAAAAAAGAAAAGAAAACTGTATTCTGCACTTCTTCTTTTCTTTTGTGTGTGTGTGTGTGTGTTTTAGGTAGGGGAAGATTGAACCCCATATCCAGTATGGCTTTTAGAAATATTATGGTTATGTTTGGATATTGGATTTGTGGAGGGAAAAAAGAAATGAAGTAGAAACTATTTCCAAACCCCCACCCCACACACATACACACACACACACACACACAAATCAAAGATTAAACCATCTAAGCCTTCTAAACGGCAAAGGTGAGGATGATAAAATGTTAGCTTTGAGTCAAAAACTTGCTCAAATTGCCATTCTCATTAGCTTTGAGCACGATTTGAGATAATCTGCGTGTGCACTTATGAGTTTTTATCATCGCTTTGAATCGGAGGGATGCTAGGGAAATTTGAAATCGATCTCTCATTCCCCAAATTCCCTCACGACTTTAAAGGAGAGAACTTGTGGGTTTTGTGTTTGAGTTTATCATATGTATGATAATGGTTTTTAGGATATAGAACTTGATTGAATGTTATAGTTTGTGCATTCAATTTACAGAGATATCTAGATAGATTTTATATTGTTCCATTAGTGACATTGTTTGGTCATTTTTAGGTCTGTGGATAATTTTTTAGTCAGAATTTAAGAGCAAATAACTCATCATTTTTTTTATCACTTTATTTAATTGCTTGGTTTTGCATTTATATATAGTATAAATCAGCTGATGTTTGTAAAGCAGCTGAACTATGCATTGGTGAAATTTTCAGAGTCTGTGGTCCTGATGCAGTATGTAGACAAAAATTTTTGGTGCCTCCTTTGGTTTTTGTCAAAAATCTAGCAGAACTCCTGAGTTTATTGTCTTGTTACATGACTAGGTGACCAAGAATTTGAAAGATATTCAAGGACCTGCCTTAGCTATTGTTCTTGAACGACTGCAGCACTCTGGGGCTTTTCAAGGTATGTTGTAGTGAAGTTTGTTGAGGTTTTATTATCTTTGTTCGGTAGTGTTGTTTCATAGTGACATAATTTTTCTTTGTTCCCAGAAACATTTGAAGTGGCTAAAACAATATCGATGGGGCCATCATTGAAAAGTGGATCAAAAGTTCACGAACCAGACAAGCACCCTCCCCAACATATTTCTTAACAAGTTCACGAAGCTAAATTGTACAAGACTACTTGGCAGTATGAGCATTTTTGGGAGGATTAAATATTTTTGGATGGATGTGTATGGATAACAAATATTAGTAGTTTTATTTGTTGATAGCTGCGCATGGATAACAAATAGTTATGTTTCAAATTCATTTTAGAATAGGGTTTTGTGAATTGTTCCTTGTTTTTGGAATCAATGTTGCTGCTGCTGAGTTATGTGTTGAAACTTGGATATAGAAAATTTTATAATAAGACCTGTTTTGATAATGAATTCGTCCTATTTTGATTATGAATTCGCTAAATATTACAGGTGTATTATTTTCCTGCTTTGGCGACCAATTTATTAGTTGCGACAAATAAATTATTTTTTTTCGCAAAAAATGACAATTGCCGACCAAGAGTTTTGGTCGCAAAAAATACATCTATTGCCGACCAAAAATTTTGTTGGTCGTGGAAACTCACTTTTGCCGACCAACAGTTTTGGTTGCGAAAAGTAACAATTGGCGACCAAACTAATTTTGGTCGCATAATGTCACAATTGGCGACAAAAATTTTTGGTCGCGAAATGTCACAATTGGCGACCAAACTTTTTGGTCGCGAAATGTGTCAATTGGCGACTAAGAAATTTGGTCGGCAAAAGGCGACTTTGCGCGACCAAAGTGTTTTAGCGACAAAATGAATTAGTCGTGGTAATTAAATATTTAGCGACCAAAAATTTAGTCGGCAAATCCAACCTTTGCCGACCAACTAAAATTTTGGTCGCGAATTACTTTTCCCGACCCTCAATTGGCGACCAAAGTTGCGACAAAAAAAAATGGTCGTGGATAACTTTTGCCGACCAAAAATAGACTTTTAGCGACCAATTTTTTTGTTGTCAAAAGTGTGAATTCTTGTAGTGAATGGTAAATTATGTGATGCAACCGTCTTGTTCACACTTCTATTACTACTTTTTCATTTTTGTTGGAGAAGGGGTTTAAAGAGATGATTTTATGATAAATAGAACGCACATTATATGGAACATGTGATCTGAAAGGGTTTGCTTTACTTTGTTGATCACAGGCCTTAAACATTTGCACAAGCTACTAAGCTTAGGAGGATTGCAGCAGTTAAGGAGAAGGACCTTGCAAAAAGTACGTAAATTTTTTAGCATGTTATTTTTAAGCATTTCTTTGTAGTTTTTTAGTCTCTCCCTCAACCGCCAACACCCCCCCCGGCCCGGTTTTCTCCCCTTTCTTCTTCTTTTTTTTTCTATATTTAGGATTCATACTCATAAGGGATCTAAAAGGGACTTTTTCGTGTTGACTATCAGGTTACTCAACACAACCCTCCTCTGTATCCAAGGTTGGAACCGACTATGTAAAAGATAAAACACCAAGCAAGACACAAGCAGAAGAGGATGTAGACCAAGAAAGATAGAATTGGAGACGAACATATTCATGAAATGGTAGAAGTAGCACCAAGAAAGATATTACCTTCTTGTGAATGGGAGCTGAGCTATTTTCTCCTAACTTTGTGGTGCAGGTCTGAATCATGGAAATCAGCTTCTCTACACAAAAAGAAAAAGAAAAAAAGGACCATATCTCTCAGACCCTATTGCAAGCAGGAGCCTTGCGCCCTAGGTATGGTCAAAGGAGTTGCCTTTGTGATTATGGAATTCTCTAGCAGTGATCATTCAAGGCAGAGTACTCGAGGAATGGGCCCAGTTTGAAATTGGTGACAATCAGAAAGCCTTCATGAATGAGGTTCACTATTGATGAAGGGGCTGGTCTCTGATTAGACTCTATCAGCCAGGTTTCTCTTTGCAAAGGTATGAAGCTGGTCTATCAGGATCTATGAGCAAGAGGACAATTTTCAAATGCAATGTTCACTTGGAGCCTACTGTGATCAGATAAAGGTCCTTATTTGTTGAGAGGAGGAAGGGTAAGTGGGGCAACATGATTTGAGGCAGTGATTGTTTTTTGCAAACCCAGAGCATGTTAGAAGGAAGACAGTGGTTTGCAGCAAGAGGCAGTGGTGATGGAAAATGTTGACGAGGGGAGAGCACTGTGATGGACGATTGCTTGCAAATAACGGGTGAGTTGCTGAGATGAGAGAGATACTTTATTAAAAAAAAGAGAGTTGGTGAGAGATAAGCATGTGATGGGAGCAATTGATGTTGTATTACCAAACAGTGGTAGCAAAGTGTATTGATTTTGATTTTTTTTTTTTGTCACCTCTGGTTCCTTTGTTTTCTTTTGTTTTTACTTTGAAGGACATAATACGTATGCAGAGAATCAGAGTGTTTAGTTTCTTGTTGAGAGTGTCTCAGCTTGTCAACATATTGCCTTAAAATTTGAATCCTTGGTTCCTTACCATGTGCTCATATTGGTTGATTCTTACTTTTATTTATCTAAAATGCTAGGTTTTTTATTTTGTCATTAGCTGCAGTCTTTGAAGTTGGCCATTCTTTAATTTTGAGTTGATTATTCTTTGTTAGCTTTAAAGAGAGGCTACCAAAAGAGACATGGTACGTATTTATGCTTCAAATAGTTAAGTTTTGCATGCCATGTCTGAGTCATTAGCCTTTTTGTTGGAGTTGCATTATCTTTCTGTAGTTTTCTTCCTGTTGTAATTTGTATGTCCAGCTAGTTCACTGTTGTTTTTTCAATTTGGATGTATATTGCCTCATATGGATGGAATCTAACAGCTTTAACTAACTTGCAGTTCAAGAATTGCACAGCAAGGAGGTGAAATCGTCATCTGATTCATATTTGAAAGGTCTCATGATATTGAAGGTGATCTTGGGAACAGTTTGATGCTTAAAATATTTACAAGTTTCCCTGAACAAAGTGCTGAAGTGTTTAGTTGCATGGTTACCCAACAGGTTTTTACATATTTTTTTGCTGATTTGGTGGTTTTAGGGAGTCCCCGTGGCTTTCATATATAAGAAACTTGTGGAGCCCTTTGGTAATGCTTTCTTGACATTAATATCCAAATTCATATTTGTGAATGCTCTGTTTTCCAGTTTATTGTTGATGTCTTCTACTTTCTATTACCCTCTGTTTTTTTGGGCAGAAAACATTTTCTGAAAAATGTTTTTTGTATTTTTTTGGCTTTTGGTAGAAACAGCAAATGTTTTCCATGCTCAAAATTGCTTCTTCGCATCCCAAAGTGTCCACTTTTAAATGGTGAAAAACATTTTCTGAACTAAAATCTTACCAATGGCACCACACTACTACCACCATCGCCATTGCCATCACCACCACCATCACCACCACCACGGCCACCCACCACCAATACAACCATTAGTACATTAGTTTCAATGATGCAACCAAACATATGAAAACGCTTTAGAAAACATTTTCTATGGAAAATATTTTTGCCTAAACAAACAGAGCATTAATGTTTAGTATAGTTTCTATCGTTGTGATGCTGCAATTTTTACTCGAATTGACAACAACAACAAAAAAAAATTATATATATATTTTCATAGATAGCACACTACAAAGCTACACCAATCAGCTGGCATGATTATTTTTCCATTACTTGAAGAAATAGAAATGCTTGAAAGTTTACTATTGTGTCTTGATTCAGTACAATTCTTCTTTTGTAGGGAAGGTGCTACCTTGGAGAGCAGGGAGTCCTTTGAATGATAATGTTATGGTAAATGAAATATTCACCATTTTCAAACCGTTTTATTTTATTTTTGTGTTGTCATTAGAGAAATGTTCCATTAAATTCTTTTCAGTTATAAACAATCTTGTCCTTTCTTACCATTTCGACCCTTGTTCTCTTTGGCCTTTTGCTGCTTCTTTTAACATCCTAATATGGATCAAATCATTTGCACATGGCCATAACCAGGGATGGCCATGGGGCGGGTTTGCCATTCCCCACCCTTGTTGCGGGCGACCAAAATATAATCCACCCCAGCTCCACTCGGTCGGGTATGAACGGACCCCCGCGGATCGGATTAAAATAACCATCCCTAGCCATAACATTTCAAATGACTTTTTCTAATTTTATCTTCAATTGGCACACTAAGAACTTTTCTTTGATGCATTCATTTTGTATCATATTCATCTGGGTAAATTATATTCATAGCTTTGACATAATTATGCTGGCTTCCCTTGAATTCCAAATTGCATAATCTTTTGCCCCATTCTGTTAAAAGAGCATCATTTGTTTTAACCATACCATTATTTTATGTAATAGAATTTCAATATGCCCTTGTACTAATTATTAAAAACAAATTCAAAAATATAAAATGGAATATTTGATAATGTGTGTGTAGCATGGAGAAGATATTTGATTAAACCTTTTTTTCTTCTTCCAATGAAGTATGCATATGCTGCCAGTTTGAAATGTCATCATATGAAGCAAATAAAATAATTATTACAGACACAAATCATAAGACTTGAGCTTGATGATTTCTGTTATGAGGTCTGTGATCATGTGTTTTGATGCAAATGCAGGTTGGGATTATACCTTGGTTGATATTATCTAACAGGGTTAGCAAAATTATTGGTCAAAAAGTCTTCCATTAGAAGGATTTGCTACTTGAAGATACACAAGTTGAAGAAACTTTTTTTTGTCTTTTTTTTTTTCTTCTTCCTGTATTTACCAAAAAGGATTCCATGTGTAAGTTTTGGAGAGAAATTAAACTATTTGTCTAGAATTGTTCAAAATAGAAATTATAGTAAGAATCCAGGTAGTGCATCAACAATAAAAACTAAGGGCAACAGATACAAAAGTTATAATTCCAAATTTGTTAAAATTGAAGAATAGAATAGATACAACTGATAATGTAACAAAAAAATGTATCATACTTCCTACAATTTGCAGTGCAAAGCACGATTCAGACTCTACTAAAACAAAATTTGAAGGGAAAAAAAAAGCTAGTAAATAAACCAACTAAATAATCCAATCCATGTTCACATTGAGACTGAGATTGACTTGAGAGTCAGTGTCACTGCTGCTGATTGTTACTTCACCCAACTGAGGCTCAGTGATTTGCAGTAAATTCATCGTATACATTGACGCAAACAGAAGTTCATTGAGAGGCGAAGAAAATTGCCGTCTGATTAATATCACAATTGTTCATGGCATTAAGAGTAGTCTCCTCCAATGTTTCATTAAACTCCCATGTCAATGGCACACTCAACTCACCACCACCACCACCACCACCATCACCACCACTACTTCCAGGAACTCCATAGCAATTCAATGGCCAAAGCAGCACGAACATCGGTGGCTCAATTAATGGTTGGTACTGGTAGTGCATCTTACTGAACACCAACAACTCAATTCTTCTTGTTAATTCATGTAATTTCAATTTCATCAATTTCCATAAACTCATCAACTGTTCTCTTGACAACCCACAAAGCCAACCATCATTCCAACCCAATAAACCCCTGATTTTATCATCTAAGCCACGATGATGATCAGAGGGTTGTTGCTGTTGGGCTTGAACCAGTTATTTGCCTCGGCGGTTATTCTTGTACGCGTTGATGAGAGTTTTGACGTGGGTTGGGTTTTCAGGCCATGTCTCAACCTCATTGTTGGGCCCAAAACAGATGGTGATGGCATTGATGTCGCACAATATTGAGAGCTCCATTGTTTTCTTGATGATACAGGCTTTTCTCTTCTTGTACATCACTCTGCTCCGCGATTTGTGGTTGTCAATGATTCTTCGCTTGATGGGTTTTTTAATCTGAATTCGATTTTCAACCTCCATGGCTTGTTTTCTTGTGAATGAAGAAAGGAAGACTTCCAAGTATACTTTTGATGAAAAAAAACAGAGCAATACTCACAAAAATTGCTGCAAGTATACTTTTGTGCGTAAGAATGTTAAGAGTAAGAAATTGCTACATATATATATATATATATATATATAGAAAGAGAGAGTAGAGAGATTGTGTCTGTGTGTGATTATTTCCCGCGTGTATGTTGTTGCCAAGGAAAGATTTGATTGATGGGATACAAAGGACGGGAATCACGGAATTAGTTGATGGGAAAGTCTATAGTACATTTTATATAAAAAATGTACGGTACATACAAAATCAATGGTTAGGATTGAGCCACATCATTAAAAGTGACCTGCTAAACAGGTCACTTTTTATAGTTATGAGCTAAAATCATATTTCTTCATAACTATAATCAAATTGATCATAACTTAGCTATAACTACATCTCATAACCAACACCATTTTGTTCATAACTAATATCACATATTTCATAACCACATCTCATAACCAACACCATTTTAGTCATAACTAACATCACATATTTCATAATCATAATCACATATCTCATAACCAACACCACTTTGATCATAACAAATATCACATATCTCATAACTATTGATCACATATCTCATAACCACATCTCATAACCAATCCCTTTGAGTCATAACCAACATCACATATCTCATAACCACCAGTCACATATCTCATAACCAACACCTTTTTGTCATAACTAATATCACATATCTCATAACCACTAATCACACATCTCATAACTACTACCCACATACATCATAACCACATCTCATAACCAATCCCTTTGAGTCATAACCAACATCACATATCTCATAACCACTAGTTACATATCTCGTGCAACACCTTTTTGTCATGACCAATATCACATATTTCATAACCACTAATCACATATCTTATAATTAACACCTTTTTGCTCATAACCACATCACTTTGATCATAACCAACATCACGTATCTCATAACTACTAGTCACATATCTAATAACCAACATCACGTATCTCACAACCACTAGTCACATAACCAATATCTTATAACTCATAACCATTAATACATATAGCATAACCACACCTTTTGACACCACTTTGCTCATAACCATTACCCACATATCTCATAACTACTAACACATATAGCATAACCAAATACCCTTTGACACCACTTTGCTTATAACCATTACTCACATAACATATAGCATAACCAAATACCCTTTGACACCACTTTGCTTATAACCATTACTCACATATCTCATAACCACTCATAACTATTACCCACATATCTCATAACTACTAACACATGTAGCATAACCAAATACCCTTTGACACCACTTTGCTCATAACCATTACCCACATATCTCATAACCACTCATAACCATTACCCACATATCTCATAACCACTAACACATATAGTATAACCAAACACCCTTTGACACCACTTTCCTCATAACCATTATTACCCACATATCTCATAACCACTCATAACCATTACCCACATATCTCATAACCACTAACACATATAGCATAACCAAACACCTTTTGACACCACTTTGCTCATAACTATTACCCACATATTTCATAACCACTAACACGTATAGCATAACCAAATACCCTTTGACACCACTTTGCTCGTAACCATTAGCCACATATCTCATAACCACTAACACATATAGCACAACCAAACACCATTTGACACCACTTTGCTCATAACCATTACCCACATATCTCATAACCAACATCACATATATCATAACTACTAATCACATATCTCATAACCAAACACCTTTTGACTTATAACTATACCACTCTGCTCATAACCAAAATCACATATCTCGTAATCACTAATCATATATCTCATTACCTTTACCCACATATATTATAACCACATCTCATAACTAGCACCCTTTGTTTCATAATCAATATCACATATATCATAA